CATAGAAGTCGTCTACATGTGCATCTGCAAACATAGCTGAAGCGCTACAGTATCGGGTAACCTCAACAAGGCCCTGAAGGCATTATTATATTGCACACGTATTGCACTATAAGCCCTTAGTGTATAGTTGGTCCACAGAGCACACGTGTAAAAACTTTGACAGAACGCTTTGAACAAGGTCAGTTTAACACCGCTGTACAACGCATGAATCTGCGGGCCAACATATTGCCTCGGACTGACAGTGCCCTACGCTCCTTTCAATGTCATCCACATCTTTTAAATCATCCGTAACAATATGACCAAGATACTTAAAATGTGTAACACGTCTCAGTGGAACCTTATTCAGGAAGATTGGTGGCACATTAACAGGTTCTTTAATTTTACCTTTAAATAACATAAACTCGCTTTTCTTTTCATTATACCTCAAGCCATGCTGCGCAGCATAGCATTCACAATGTTCTAAAAGTTTCCTTAAGGCACCGATAGAGGCTAAGCAGCACCATATCGTCTGCATAGCTAATATTATTGAAACTAATACTATCAATGCGACATCCGATATGCATGCTGCTCAGCTCCTCTATCAGGCTATTAACATACAAGTTAAACAGTCTAGGTGAGCTCAAACCGCCTTGTCTTACACCGCAGTTGAGAACATATTCATCTGATTGAGCATTTGCCCATTTTACTACATTTTTTTGGTTACTATACCAATGAGAAAAGACACTAACAATTTCAGGAGATACACCGCTTCCTTTAATTTACTCCATAGCAAGTCATATGACACCAGGTCAAAAGCTTTTGACAAGTCTAGGAAACAGGCGTAAACCGGTGTCTCCTTCTTGACATAGTAATCGATAGCATATTTAAGTGACAAAACAGCAGTTTCGGTTGACAACCCTTCTTTAAAACCAAACTGTGCATCATGAAGGTTTATTTTAGTACTCAAATGAACATCCAACAATCTATCCAAAACTTTAGCACACACTGTTGCAAGAGATATTGGTCTGTAATTGGATTTATCAGCTAAGTCACCTGTACGATTTTTAACAAGTGGAACAACAATTGTTTTCATCATATCTGATGGCAAATATGAATGCCGTACACAAAAAGTAAACAACATTGACAACACTCTATTAATATGTGGCCCAGCATACTTCAGGTGCTCAATGCTGAGCCCGTCATGCCCTGGTGATTTACCCTCTTCATGTTACTTATTGCTGCCCGCACATCTTTGGCAGTGAATCCGAGTGGATTCTCAACATGACAGGACTCAACACTGGACACGCTACTAGACCTAGGCAAAGTGGACTCTACCTTAAAATGATCTTTGAACATATTTGCAATACTCCCTGGATCACTTATGCCATCCACACTCACAGGCAGTTCAACTCTCCCATTGAGCTTTTTTGTTCCTTTCCAAAATTTATCAAACTTTTTAGCAGAATGTTGAGATGCAAGTATGTCCATTTTTATCTGCTCCTGATTTTGTTGACAATATTTAAGTTTAGATTTAAACACTTTGCGACTCAAACTCATATTCTCAAATATAGGTCCACTATCGGGTTTTCCATAGAGGACATACATCCGAAAATCAAGACGAGCCTGTTTATGAGCTGATGCTACATGCTTATTCCACCCTAAGACAGTTTTATACTTATTTGATTTTTTAGGTTTAAGTGTACAACTAGACATGGATGCTTGCCTTAAAATAGTAATAATTTCAGCATATAGGTTATCTATAACAACTCTATGACTATCATCATTACACATTCTATCAGCACATTGATTTAATTCCGTGGAAAATCTACACATTTCAATTGGCTATTACATATTTCCAAATATTTCTTAATTTCCTCTTGACTCCTGGTACCCCATTGTATATTATTTGTTAACTCATATGTTACAGTAGGCCTTGATCTGACCAGACCAAGGTCACATTCGATGACTAGAGGATAGTGGTCAGACCAATAAACATCATACATTACATCAACACTTATAACAGTAGGCCATGCCGCCTGACTAGTCAAGCAATGATCCAGCCATCTCCTGCTACCTGTAGCCTGACAGACAAATGTATGAGTACCGGCGACTTGACAAAGTCTATCCCTATCTGCACACACCCACTGTCTCTCCGCACAAAAGTACATCAGCTCCTTGTCAAACAGTGTGTCCGGATGCGCATTAAAATCACCCAAAATGTAAATGCTGTCAGTATTACAATCCTCTGCAATTGAGACTATGTCCGCCAAACACTCAGTAAATAATGGCAGATTCGCAGTCTTGTTCACTGGCATGTAGACGCACACAAATATTACCTCGCAATGATCACTTGTGGTAGCTTTGATAGCCACAATACGCTCACTTTTACACGCAACCACTGACACTTGACGAAACGAACATTTACGCCACAGAAGAGCAACACCTCCATATAGACGACCTCTAATTATACCAGCTTCCGAGTCCATACCCGACTTTGCAGTGTAACCGAAGTCCCTGTTGATCTCGCTGAGAAATGGAAGGTCTTGCGGCAAAAGCCAGTGCTCCTGCAACGCCACCACATCGGCATCCTTACATAGTGATCTAACACAGTCAATACTTCGCTTTATGTTTTTACAATTATAGGTTATAATTTTACAGGTCGTACTATTCATTAAAATGTATGTAAATAGCTCAAATCACTTTGTTATCCTGCAGCCCTGGCTCTAGTGGGACTGTACTCTTCCTCCTCAGGTGAACAAACTGCCGAAACTTCACCCCATCTGGCCAGAACTCATCGTTTAGAAACATCTCCAATTTGTGCTTTGGAACAAAAATCTTATAGGCATTGTAGGGTCTTTTGTATTTCATATTGATTTTTTCCACATCAACGCTCACCTGTGCTTTTGCTTCAATATATTCACAAATACCCTGAGCCTCCACTTCTTTGTTAACGTTAGATATGAACAAAGGAATTCGTATATCAGCCGCCTTGAACTGCGATCCTGTCATCTTGTCGGGAACTGGGGCAGCTTTGCCGGTTTTACCCACGAAACGGTTCCGCAATCTTCTCCTCTGTACCTCGATCCAGTTTTCGTTTGGTCTTTCTTGTTTCCAATCGCCTTTTTCTTTTAGAATCTCCGCCACCGTTTTTTCTTTGTCGAGATTTATTTTTGATGACGCATTGAGTCCCTACAATGTACAATATAGTATTGTACACCATAATACTGGCCGTCAGAGTAATGTACGACGTGATGAAGCACGACATGATGAATGGAATCAAAACAATGTCGCCATCCATCACCCCGTACCGAAAGTGCACGGGGGTGGATTGCACGACATGATGGTTGGAGACATCACGTGTTGTGGTAGAATAGTGATGTGACTAGATCGATAATATTATATGCATTTCTAACTTAATCCAAATTGTTTTTATATTAAATAAATTCTATAATAAGCTTGGTCGCTCACTTCGTTCGCTCCAGGGGGTCACTGTTCTAACCTAACCTAACCTACTGTGTCGGATTTGCGTTAAATGTGTTTTTATTGCGGGGCTGCGCCCAAACCCCTTGGGAGGGGTTCGCCCCCCCCGTCCCCCCCTCCGTAGGTTGCCTTGCGTGTCATGTTCGAATAATTAATCGAAAAGTCGATCAAAGTCAACACTGTCACATCACTACATCCGCTGTGACGTCATTTGTTTTGATTCCATTTCCACCCCTGTACATTATTGGTCCGGGCCCGTATTTCAAGACCATCCATCCATCATGTCGTACAATGATCTGCTGTACAATACGCTGCCGTGCTTTAACCTGCTGTGCATTGAGTATGTCGTGCATTGTGGTTCCCCGACGCATTCTCAGGTGCACAGATCACTAATTCAGGTGAACGATCCAAAGGCCCTTCCACACCAACATTACGTGCCATTTCCGCTGTTGTCTCTGGTGCGTTGGCTGACGCACGCAGTTGAGGCCCATTCGCACTCACTTTTTGTAACGTCGACTTAGACGGAAATGCGTGAGTGACGGGGACAGCATGGTTTGGACTCTCAACACTACTCTGAGAGTGCAAGTGAGACAGCGATGGGTTTTGCTCACCTATTTTCCTCCATACGTTCGTTCCCCCGTCCTCTTCACTATAATCGACGTTTTCAACCGTTACTGGTCCAGCCATATTACCCTCTTCGTTAGAAAATATTGTGTTATTGTGCGACAGTCCGATCGGTCCGCTATCGAGCCCAAAACCACCTCTTTTTCTAGTATTTACATTGTTTGTGTAGTGGAAATTCGATGAAATATCGGTCTTTATGTTTTTCAGTTCTCTTTTCAGACTCTTCAACTGCGATAAAGTGGCATAATCGTTCTTAAAAGTATTCATTTCGTTGCGCAATTTGGTGATATCTTTGAACAATGTCACTGTATCAATATGATCTATCGACGCAGGAGGAAGTTTTTGTAAATCCTGGGCAACGAACATAGGCAAAAACTCCGGGTTGACTTCCTTGAAGAAACTAATAATGTCTTCCAAATTTCTCTTGCCTTTTCCATCCTTTCTTCTATTTATTTTAGCTCGCGACACTTTCACAGATTCAAAAAGCAACGACTTTGCCGCCTCAATTTCTTTTTCCGTAAATGTCGATTCGCACATCTTTATTAGACTAATATTGTCCATTACGTCATGTTTATATTGGACGTAAGACAATAGTTCACAAATCACAATATTACAACTGTGACATTTTACAGTTTGACACGAGGCCATTATTAATAACACGAAAACACACCCGTACGTATTCGCCGTTCGAGCGGAAATGTAGGTACGACTTCTCTCATTACGATTTCAAATTAATTGGGATAAAAAACAGGCAGATGCATTAATTTGAAGTCGTCGATGTAACATATTGTGACGTATAAGAATGAGTGCTTATAAAAGAAATTGAAAATATGTCATGCGTCGACCAGGGCTTGTGTCTAGGTGACGATTAACAGAGAAGCATCAAGAGATTGAAAATTTGGCAGACATCGATCGGTGCATCGATAGCTCAGTGGCAGAGCGGTGAGGCGTTGACCCGTGCGGCCCGGATTCGAGCCCCTGTCGATGCATGAAGTCATTTACATCCCAGATGTCGGCTCTGGGCCTATCACGCTTGACGGGTAGGAACTAGAAATCGTTCCACGTTTTATTTCTGTCCCGCGGTGGCTAGATAGATGTGCAATGTAAAGTAACATTTTACAAATGCATGTTTCTGCTACTCCTGTTGAGAGCGGATGTGTAAGTAAGCGAGGAAATTTGGTATGATGAATTAAATTAGGCCGTCTTTGGGCCTTACCACAAAAAAGTTAAACAAAGTGTTGAACGCGAGTTTAAAATAAAACTTCATACAAACGCGTTCCACGTTCGTCATACCTCATCTTCTCGTCTAGCTCCACATAGGAGACTTGAGACGTGAGACGTGAGACGTGTGACATCGCGACGCTTGGAACCGTTTCCACTTAAAATTATGACAAAGCTACGATGCTACACACGACGTGAAACGCGCGTCACATCGATGAATGCTGACGATCACTTGTACGCCAGATGCCATCCCACGCACGTCGCTCGTCTCCTCTGTGGAGTTTGGGCCTGAAAACCCTTTATACAAATCAGATTGTAACAGTCTTTCCCATTCCAGCGAGGTTGCCGTGGACAGCGAAGCGGGCTCCAACTCAGACAGCGTTCTCAAGACCGACTCGGACGAAGATTTCGACTAGAAATACACCTAACCCCGCTCCCAGGACTGATATCTACTTTGAGTACCATCATCAGCACATCAACCTCTCTATGGGATCAACTTAAAGGGCGCCACATACCGCCTTCGTATGCGTGCACGTCATAACGACGTTGTATCAAACGGGACCGTATGAGTCACCGAACATCGCGCTACGCGCACGCATACGCAGGTAACATGTGGCCTCTCATACGATCCCGTACAATACAACGCGCGTGATGACGTGCACGTCACGCGTACGGAGGCGGTGTGTGGCGCACTTAAACAGGATTTTCTTATGAACTGTATGAAAAACCAAAATAAGTTGATCCCTTTAAGTTTGGTGTCCAGCTGATAGTAGGTACTTGCGAGAATCGCTAACGGTCTTGCGTTGAGTTTAGAAATAAGCGCCCCATGTAAACAATAGGTAACAAATTCACCTAGGTACTTATTCAATTTGAAACAGTAAAGTAGCATATCTAGATAAAAACAGTTTATCCTAAAAAAATCATCTGTAACGTTCCTACGACTGTTTTTTCTGGACATTATTTATTTATTATAATTCACATAAGCCATCGCTCTAAGTTATTTTTTAAGTTAATTTGCTCCATAACTAAATCTTTGTCTTATTATGCTGTGATCTTTCCTATTTAAGGTTGTCTTGTTTGATGTGATATTCATTAAATTATAAGTGGCTTGTGATCTCAATTAAAATAATGTCATTAAATCTCTATCCTGGTTTTATTTCTCCTCCAATTATTATAAAAATACATTATTTTCGTGTCCTTTTGAAACTGTGTTCCGATTACTTCCAATGTTTTTTATTCATACAAGCATATTTACCTACCTATTAAAAAACAAAAACCCGACCGCGGCAATTTTAAAGAATCCGCCATGATGAATTTATGAATTTGTAATAATTATCGCCAGTGTCACTCGCGCTGCTCCTGAGATGAATGTAATATAATATATAACAACTAACAACCAAAGGACACCTCATAATATGTCAACATCCGTCAAGCCGTTTGGACTGTCTGTAGCCCGTAAAAAATAATCTACTTGTCCACATACATACATACACTTACATACTTGCACACATACTCACGAAAAACAAACGAAAGAAAGCAGCTTAAATAATCGTTTAATAGATGGCAGCACAAGGTTTTTAAAACACGGTAACGAAATGTTGTCGGGTCACATACAAGAGTCGCAATTGAGCCTTTGCGTAATGCTATGTAATATGCTATGTTGCAAATGCACCTGCAATTTTTGAAAATCACATTCGAAAGAATTAATTCAGAATGTGGCTTATGTATGCCGGGAGTACAAGAAAGAGAATAACAAGCTGAAAGAAGGTCAAGGTACCTACTCATAAAACTGAACAACTTTCCCAGTGGAACATGGGTCGAAATATGAAAAAAAAATTGGTCCTTCCATAGTTAATCAATTAGCTGATCGGAGATTTTGTATGGGAGGTGCAATTTTTTTTTTCGAATTTCGATCGATGTTCCATGGGGAAAGTTGTTCAATTTCATGAGTACCTTGACCTCCTTTCGGCTTGTTATACCCTTTCTGTTACTCCCGGTATAGTAAATTTGTTAACACTATCATTCAATAATAACACAATGAAACCTGGCTAATGAGTTTTCGCATGCCAAAGTTTGGTGGAAAAACTGGGACAAGCGTTATTTATTTCCCCCTTTTTCCACAACTTTTATTACCTACCATTATTTCTGTTGCGGGTATAAAACTACCCGGACTGCCGTTTCCAATGTTCCGTTGTACGAGTAAACTAGGTACTATTTGGGATCTGAACTGTCATTTTTACCCGACTGCCTCAGGAGGGTTATGTTTTTCGAGAGTATGCCTACCCATTCACAAAATATATACCTACTACCTACTATATTATATAAATATATATTGAAAGATCTTAGACCATCTTTCAAAACACGTCATCACGAGAGGCAGCGGTTTTTGTCGCCGCGCATTATGAATTCATTTTCCGTCTGCAAACTTAGTTTTGTCTCATATACAATTGAAAACCCCAAAATAAAACGCTAAATTATATATGAAAATGTATATATTATTCTCAAAACACAATATATCGTCATTATCAACAATGAATCACAATTTTCTAACATAAACTTTATAAATAAGGGATTTGCACTAATTGCACCTCACAAAATGATATTGTCTTATTAAAGTAGTAGGTAGGAAGTTCAAATTAAATATTAAAATAATCAGGACATTTAAAAGGATTACAAATTTATAATCAGTAATCACATCATGGTGTTACATTTCCATGTAAACTATTTTTTATGAGGGATAAACCCAGATCTGCATAGTCCAAATTGTTATCGTATTGTGACAAAATTAATCTCTTTCAATAGAAGCAAAGAATTAAATAAGTGCAGGTTCTTAAAAGAATAAAAATACCTATTACATTTCTGGGTACTTCTCAATTTTACGTTTGCATAGAAACTGTTTTTTCACTCTGTCACTTTCCATACACGTTTGCTTCACTAATAGGGTCCTTAATCTACGGTAAATGATCGTAATATAATAATAGTGTCTGTTTACAATGTGATGATTTTAATCACGGGTATTTTGTATATTATTCAGCTTGTCTCTTGATAAACGAAAGGAAATTGTAAGAGTTTTGCCAAACTAGAAGCTATTTTTGACATTTTGTCCGCCGCCAATGTGGTGAGTTCAATAAGGGTCAATTCGTTTATAATCACGACTGGATAACTTTGGTGGCAAAAATTATTCTTAACATTTACAACAGCGGTAAAAATAATGTATACTTAAAATACTGTTGTTTGATTCCGAAGCTGATCTTAGCGCAGTGGAAGCAAATTAAAGTTATCTTAAAATCTAAAACTAAATGGTCGATCAGCCTCGGAACAACATTTGACTACGATTCGTAGTGCTCTTTACTATAGCTAAATAAAATAAATTTAATGAGAGAATTTTGTTCCGGAAAGTTTCCGGCCGAGAAATTCTTGTTTCCAAAATCTACTTAAACAGGGCCCAGCAACGAATTGCTTACCGAGCAAACGATGACGCCGTTTCTTTGTGAGTTTAAGTATGACAGGAATCAGGTATTCAGGATATTTTAGGAGCGCAGGAATAGGGAATAACCTAAACTCACAGCACTGGAACATCCGCTCGTTCTAGAACTCCTTTCCTCCAATTCGCACTATAGTTCACAGTTCGACATCACATAATGTTTTTTAACACAAAATAACTAAAAGACTTCTCTCCGAATGAGAAATCGGCCCCGTTGGCCTCCAATCATTTATAATGAAAATACGTAGCTATCAGCAGCCACGACGCGAGCGACGACTCAAAGTGAGGTTACGTTACCGGCGACCACGTTGGCCTCAATCAAAAGCCGAAACCAAAATTCACTTGGTTCACTTCCCCACCGCACAGGAAGCCATGGCTTGTGGCAAATAGCACACGAGAAAACCGCCAAAACACCTTAATTTTACACCACTTAAAACTAAAATTCGCTTCAACAACGCTAGCGAGCGACGGCAGAGGACGTGACACTATGACAGAGCAGTGTTGCCAGCACCGCGCGCCCATTTTATACGAAAACTAAACATTCACCCGCCCCGGACCGACCCATCGGTCCGCTCTATGCATGGCAGGCGTGATAATGTAGCTACTGCTCGCTTAAGGACTGAATCCCCCACCTGAACTTCTGCAACTCGAGGAGTGCCATCACTACCCGGAAACAGGTTGAGAATGCGCCCCCGGCGCCAACGCAGTGGCGGTAGGTTGGCATCCTTAACCAGAACGAGATCCCCAATGCAGGGGGGTTCAGTCCTGTCCGTCCACTTAAGGCGTTGCTGCAGAATGTGCAAGTACTCAAGCGACCAACGCTTCCAAAAGTTTTGAGTCATTTGCTGCAACAACTGATAACGCGACAAACGATTGCTATTCACCTCCGTATAGGGATATTCCGGCAAGGCGTTAAGTGGGCGGCCAATTAAGAAATGCCCTGGCGTCAGGGCCTCTAAATCATTTGGGTCTGAGCTGAGCGGACACAAAGGACGTGAATTGAGTACAGCCTCAATTTTACAAAACACGGTCGCCAGCTCCTCAAAAGTCAAAATTGTTAACCCTACGACGCGCAACAAATGCGTCTTAGCGGACTTTACAACCGCTTCAAAAATACCACCCCAGTGAGGGCACGCTGGTGGATCGAACACCCAGGTAATGCCCTGACGGGAGAGGCCCGTGCTGATGGCTTCTTCGTTCTCCCGTAAGAACGTTACAATTTCTTTCATACACCGATCAGCACCCTTAAAGTTGGTACCACAATCCGACCTGATCAGCGCTGGT